AAATGGCACTTATATCCTAACAGATGACAGCCAAACTAGTATGGGACATTGGACTCGCATTGACATGCACTTAATGTGGATCCCAAAACACGCTGGTGTCCAAGGCAATGAAAATGAATTGGCAGATAAGCTCGTAAAAAGAGGCACGGCTTCAATAATGATAGGCCCAGAACCTTTCTGCGGTCTAGACAAAGGAATTCTATCCATTTTTTTGAACGGCACAAAGGAAAAAGAAAATGAACTATATTGGGAAAAGCTACCAAGATTATACAAATCAAAAAATCTTATAGGAACCTAAACAACCTAAAACGCTTCTAGGATTGTATAGAACAAACAAAGAACAAGGAATTACTAACCGGTCACTATAGATTGAATTATCATCTAAACCAACTCAAACTAGGAAACCAATCCAACTCAGACTGCAGATGCTGTAGAAAAGAGTATGAAACTGCATACCATGTGCTAAGGAAGTGGCACTGTTGCTCAAGCAGAAGAAACACGTAGGAGGGTGTTTCATGAAACATAAGGATTCAAGACTAGGAAAGACAGGCAATATATTGACTTTCATTAAAGAAATCGGACTTGGAGAAACACTATAATTCGACTAAGTGGCACAATATATTTTTCAGGTCGCAATGTACTACCCCTTTTTCACAATAATAACAATAGTTTGTTTTTAAATTCAGTTTCTAGAATTTCGACTACTTTCGGATGTTCATCTACAAAAAAATAAAAAATACTAGTTACAAAAATAAAAGAAATTCGTATTATAGTTAATTTACTATAAGATTTACTAAGGTAGCTTTAAAAAGAATGATATTTATAATGTTTAGTTCATTTTTTAACTACAAATTTACTATAGTTTAGTACTTGTATTCGCTTTTACGAAGCATTCGGTGAATCCGATTATTTGAAAAGTAAACGAAGTCTCCGGAATTGAAAATAAAATCGGTCTTTATGTATATCCGGTATCTGTTTATTCAAATTTATACCTAAAAAAATTTGTGTTTATTATGTGATGCACGTTCGTTTGCATTTGGTGCTATTCCTTCAACTTTTGCTCACGAAATCGCCGAATAATTTCACAGCGGATAATAATCGCAATTCCGGATGTTTGAAGACTCTGAATTTACAAAAATCTTATTTTATTTTCAACTCCTGAAACATCGTTGTTATCCGTTTTATCGAATAACTTCAGTTTTTGAAATATCAGAATAATATGAACAGCACTACTACTGTTCAGCAAACTTATTGTAGAACATAATATGTTTTTAATATGCATTACGAGGATTTAAGCTTTACTCCGATCATATTTTAGATTGTTATACTATGCTTACACCTAAACTTCTCTAATCTATTTTAATATAGATTTTTTATGGAACACATATAATAGTCTCAACATAATATAATAATTCATGTTTTATTTAGCTTCTTTAGAATAGTATATATTATGTTCACTTATAATATACAAAATTGTATCATACCTAAAAACTGAAATGTTTCTCATAATTATTTGATTTATTTATCCGAAAAGCTGTTGAAATTAATTAGATTCAACTTCCCATTAGTTGCTCATATTGCAGTTTAATATCTTTTTTTTGTGGTGCAATCAACCACCAACTGCTTTCCCAAACTTATACTATATATCAAGTCACATCGTACCACCATTAGAATAAAATAAACACGCCAAACCCAGCATACGTCGTCAACAAAGTGTGATAAGATAACAAGCTGGAAAATTGAAATTAACAATCTCATCTTCATTATCGTAAAAGAGCAACGTTTATTATTGCTATGCCAAAGCTGTTCCTGAGACTGGGGTGAAGATTAGCTTAATTTGATAATATTTTTTAAAAAACAGCAAATTTATAAAAGCACGCCTGGAACTTTTGGCATATCAGTACGAGTATATTTTGAAATAGAGTACTGTTTGCCTTGATATTAAAATAAAAAATTGAAATATTAAAATAGACATTATTGTAAATGTTATTCATGTTTTACGCAACGCCATGAAGCTACGTTAAATATCCCAATGGGAATGAGTAGCTAACTCAGCGGATTACTGTTAAGGGTTGAACTTCCACAAGGGTGTCATTACAGTTAATAGACCCATGTATTTTTGTTTAAAATAAATATATCCGTTTGCGTATCAGATAGACATTTAGATATAAGAAGTGCAAAACGGAAACTAATTTAATTTGATTTTTGTCAACACCAAAACAAACCCGGTCAACACATGCTCTTTTTTAAGACTATGCACTTCACTTCAATTTAGATAGAATGATGCATCTATTAAGATGCCTAAACTTTTGTGAAATAATAAATAACATAAATACAAATTAAATAAATTGCTTATACCATCAATTCAGGGTCAATAAAAGGTAAAATAAAAAGAAGAAATCCTTTCGATGTCTTTTTTAGTAAACAAAAAAAATTATTTACTTTGTGTGTCGTTTAAATATTAATCAATGGTCTATAGTGGTGAAGATTTATAAAATATTCCGAGCTTCAGTTTCTTATTTTCCTGAGATCCTATAAATTTTACATTTAAAATCACTGGCAATTTGCAATCAATAATTTAAAAATAAATGGAAAAGTTTAGTTTCAAATGATATTAAATTTTGTACTATATTTCTGTATTGTTGTTGTAGTAACCCGTTGGAATTTCGAAAGCAAGTACCTAGGAGGACAACAAACGTGTTAATGTGATAAAAGGGACTGATAAGAGTGACGTTTATTTTTATTTTTCGCATTACTTAAGGTTATTGACTTTAGACAGCTTTAGAGGTAATTTGTGTTAAATTCGTATTTTGTTGCAACAAATGAATTGTAATAAATGAAAATTTAAATTATTTTCTAAATTCACATATTCTATAATAGAATTGATATTAATCTATAAAAACAACTTCACATTTTACAGTTAACAGTGGTATTACATCGCTATTGACCAACTTTTCCGCAATTTCATTTGTATCTAGTGATGTAGCGATTGGCATACAAATGACCCTAATGGTCCAAAGCCTTTCACAAAACATATCTAAGATTCGTATATGAGTAATCTTATTGTACTACTTGCACATGCAACTATACATATACATTATGTATTTGTTGCTGCTCACTACTTTATGCAATTTTTCAGTTTTGTACGCATGTAAAATTCAATACGTTTGCTATTTTCTTCCGATGAAGCAACCCGATAAGAATTTAGCAATGCAAAATGTTCACACTTAATACTTCCAGCTGAGCATTGCGTAGGGGCACTTTGAAAGTTGAAACTAAGCAATTTTATAGATAAAGAAAAATACAGACAATACAGGCAATACTCGTACTAACAGCAGCACTAACAATATTGCCCACAATTTCTTAAAGGTAGGGCAGTTACAAGCCCGAGACTTTAAAAACGCAACAAATGCATAACGCGCATGATAAGAATTTAATGTTTGGTTTAAAATATGTTGAGATCGTTGTTAAGATGCGGCACGTACATATCTTTACTTGTAAACTACACGTTTGTGCCAACACAGTGGGAGATCAACCAGGTTTAGATCTTATCGCTATTGGGACTTAACGCAAAGTTTTTAAAGTTTCATTAAACAAAAGTAGCAACGGCAAAGATATGTAAATGTATAAATGAGTTATATGAGTAATTAGATAATTAGATAATTATTTAAATATTATATTAATTAATGTCAAGCTTCTGTTTTTTGAGAAAGTGAATACAACAAGAATCAGTTATATAAGTTATTCATTAATTTAATTTGAATTTGATTAGTTATATTAGCTATTCATTAATTTAATTTGAATTTGATTAGATGTTTACAGTTCACACTTTATTTCCAACAGATAAATTTCTTCATATGGGAAATTCTAAATACCAAACAAAAATTCTGTTTACATATATACATTCGTGTTATTTCATAATGAACTATATACCTTAGGATCAAAAAAGAACGAGAATTAAAAAAAAAAAATTTTAATTTTTAATAATTTTCTTTATTATCGCCTTCAAAGTATTCTCCTCCTGCGGCAATATATTCTTGCCAATGCTTGATCCAATTTTCCATACAAGTTTTATAGGCCACCGAAGGTATGGTCTTTAGTTCACGCAGCGAATTCTCTTTTATGGCCTCTATGGTCTCAAAACGCGTTGCTCGCAATGGCAATTTGAGTCAAGGAAAAAGGAAAAAGTCACACGTTCGGTGCTTGGTTGATGATATTGGTGGAGTTTTTGGTCAAAAACTGCGACACAACCAACGCTATGTGAGCCGGTGCGTTATCGTGGTGTAAAATCCATGAGTTATTCTTCCATAAATCTGGCCTCTTTTTGCGAATGGCCTCATGCAAACGACGTATAATGGCCAAATAATACTCCTTATTGACCGTTTGACTGTTTGATCGTCCGGAAGGAATTCATAGTGCACCACACCATGAATATCAAAGAAAACAGTCAGCATAACCTTGATTTTGGACCGACTTTGGCGATCACTTTTCGATTTCGGCTCACCTTCGAAGCACCATTGGGTCGATTGTTGTTTGGTGGGCATAAGACTTCTATGCACATGAGGACTTTTTTGGTGTGAGGTGAAATGTCTTTCAAAAAAATAATACAGTTTTTCAAGTAGTAGTTTTGTTTCACTGCACCACATAATTGCATTATATTATTAGTTCAACTTATATTGGTGCATAAAAGTTAAACAAGATAATAGATTTGATTTTGCAGAAGCTGAGATACCGTTTACACAAAGTTTTAAAGTGCATTAAATGTATATATATATAGCGGGTTTCTGTATTTGAACGTATTTGAAAACACATAGGCTATATCTAAATTATCAAATTATTTATTGTGTATTTTCTTAATCAGAAAAACTTCTTCTTCGAATAAAATTTTTTTTCTAAATTTTTACAAATTTTTGTGTTGTCAATATTTTACATTATAATCTAGTTTACTGCGATTATCGATAATATCGACAGCTACATTATTCCCCCTTCCGAAAAAACACCTTGCGACCATAACGCGAAGTGTATGTCTTATGATCGTTCTTGTCAGTGACTAAAGGCTTAACTTCTTGTTCCTTAAAATATTGTTCACTGAAGGCTGCTTTGAGGCGATCCACCGAGATATTCACTTTCCTTCCCTTAACATCCACGACAAAATATTTATCGAAACGCTTAAGAACAGTGAATGGACCTTCGTATGGAGCCTGCAATGGTTTACAAATCATGGAATTTCTGACGAAAACCTGATCCGAGGAATAAAGATCTTTTTCAATAAAAACCTTTCCACTAGAATGATGAGCAGTTTGAGTAGATCTTAAGTCGTTCATAAATCTTTTTAGTCGCGATTAGCTTCTGAAATGAATTCCCCAGGTAAACGTAAGCCAACGCCATAAACCAGTTGTGAAGGACATGCGTTAATATCTTCTTTCACTACAACTCTAAATCCTAGAAGGATGAGAGGTAGTATTTCAACCCAGTTGTCATTTTGATAACACTTAATGGCTGCTTTCAAAGACCTGTGAAATCTTTCAATAATTCCATTAGAAGCAGGGTGATAAGCTGTGGTACGTAAGTGCTGAATACCAAGAAGCTTAGACAGCTCTTTAAACAAATAGCATTCAAATTGTCGTCCCTGATCTGTGGTTACACGTAATGGAACGCCAAATCTTGCAATCCAGGTGGAATAGAATGCGAAAGCTACATTTTCAGCAGAAATATCCTGCAATGGACAAACCTCAGACCAGCGTGAGAAACGATCGATCATTGTCAAACAGTAACGAAAACCTCTACAGCATGGTAGTGGTCCGACAATGTCCATGTTGACGTGGTCGAAACGAGACGAAGCAGGTAGATACTGCTGAATAGGTACCTTGTTGTGGCGGTGAATTTTGCTTTTTTGACAAGCAATGCAGGATTTGACCCAAATAGCACAATCTTTCTTCATATTAGGCCAAATGAACTTTTCTGCTAATAATTTGTGAGTTCTTTTACCATTTGAGTGACAAAGGTTGTGGATCGAGTCAAAAGCGATTTTGCGAAAATGCTTCGTCAAGACCGGACGAACGTTCCCGGTAGAAATGTCACAATACACTGATACATCAGAGTTTGGTAAGGTAAAGGACTTGATTTGCAAGCTGGAGTCTCCGTTGAGAAGCTTTTTAACTTCTTCATCAGTCGTTTGCTGGCAGGATTTAAAAAACTTTGACGTGCAGGCTGGCCGTATGCCTCGTTGGCGGCCGCGCCGTGTCAAAGTGATTGAGAGTGGAGAGCGTTGATGAGATTTGATGAAGTCGTCAGCTTGAGAAAGTAACTTTGATCTGTAGGCTGGCCTCATGCCTCGTTGGCGGCCGCGCCGTATCAAAGTGGGTGTAAGTTGTGCTGCTTAATTCACAGAAAAATTTATTGTGATGACCTGGATCCAGATTCCTCATCTGAATGTGTCACCGGCATGCTTGTGTGTTGCGTGTTCAAATCACGTCGGGGTCACCAATATATAGCGGGTTTCTGTATTTGAACGTATTTGAACACACAGAGGCTATATCTAAATTATCAAATTATTTATTGTGTATTTTCTTAATCAGAAAAACTTCTTCTTCGAATATAATTTTTTTTCTAAATTTTTACAAATTTTTGTGTTGTCAATATTTTACATTATAATCTAGTTTACTGCGATTATCGATAATATCGACAGCTACATATATATATATTAAAAAAAAAGTATGTATTAAAAGTAAAAAGTATGTATGTATATAATAATACTAACAAAAGCTGCTATAGATTTTTTGTTCGAACCCTAAATTTGAAATTAAATATTAAAAACTGAAAAAGTTTCTCATACAACATGTAAAATAAATCTGAAGTTTCTAAGTACCAAATACATTAAAAAATAATAAGGCTTTCTAAGAAAAACATGTTACAAAATCACAGTTTTGTTTACGAGCTACATCTGAGTCTCAGCTGATCGACCCTATTTTTATTCTACAAGTTGCATTCTAAAATTATGCTTAAGTTTCGCATTTAAAGCGGATACGAAAAAAAAAGTTTTTATAACAAAAACATGTTTCCAATTCTTTAGATTTATGGCAACTATATCTAAATCAGGATAGATATGAATAAAATTTTCTATGGGTCCTCATATGAATAACGTATTTAAACAATATGTATATTTCTGTACCAAATTTCATAGTTTTATTAATATCTCTATTAAAAATAAAGAAAACTTATATCCAATTGGTTAGTTTTTGTGACAGTTATTGAATGTTGTGGTTCAATTTCGGTTAGTACGACAATTACACCAGGTCATCAAAAAATACGTGTATAAAGTTTTATTCGTTGCTCAAAAAGTGACGATTTCGACGTTGACGACGTTTTCTTCAATGCATTATAAAAATCCTAACAAACCTAACACACTTTTTTACACTTTTGTGTGAAGGATATTAAAATAATAATTACAAGAATAATTAGAAGAAAACAGCCTGAGAAAAACAACGACAACCGCAAAGGAAAAACAAATACTCTTTTTAAATTAAAGCAAACTTCGTATAGAATATGCTAATATAGTAGTATGAAAAATAAATAGAAGAATATAGAATTATTTTTTAAGATATAAAATTTTATTTATTTAATAATGTGTGTCAACACGTGCCGACTTTTGCAAATTTAATATTTTGATCTCATGCAAAGAACGAACAGTTTAATGAAGCGTTAAAGTTATTATTTAAGGAATTATTGCTATAAACCGAATGAAATAAAACCTTAAATACACTTAGTATGAACACACAATCGTGTTATTTAAACAGAACAAGCAAACAGTATCGAGTTATTATGAGTAACATAAAAGGGAAATGTCTTCGAATGTTATGAATGCAATTACGACTACAATTTTATGCTTCACGCGTAGACCTATTAACACTTACAAAGTTACAATTCCTCTTCTTCAACAACAACAACAATCAGAATAAGAATAAGGAACTTCTTAAGATAAGCAATAAACTTGAAAATAAATGCAAAATTAATATTCGCACAAGAATATCACATAAAAGTCATAAATATAACTTGTAATTGCCTACATACTTAAGGTAGGTGTTGACATCATTTCAATATATAATGAAACCGAAAACTATTTACCAAACAATATTTATAGTAAGATAAAATGAAATTATTTGTTGTAGTTTTTATTAGTTATTATGTTGACAAACTTCTTCAAAACAATCAAAAAGTTTTAGTTAATGAAACTGGTGATGTTGTGTCAAATTATTGGTAAGCACACAAACGACATTTCTTTAAGTCTATACTCGTATATCCATTATGCTCCATATATCATACAACATGGATGCTGGCATACAAACTGCTACTAAACAAAAACGTTAAAATTCAATTTTACGAGCGATACTTGCTGTCATTAAATGTGTCGACAGTCGACAATGTGGGAGGACTACAATTGGCAACAAAAGGTTATAAAAATTTTACGACTTCAAAATTATGTCCTTTCAATTATGACGTCCAGTCAGAAATACTTAATATTTCTGCCATAAATTTCGCAGAAATTTAATTGTTGAATAAACATTTATGTATATAAACAGTACATTCAAAGTTTTTACAAAAAGTTTAAAGCAGATTAAAAACCGGATATATCTTTAACGACAATACGTTGTTACAACCATGAGCACATGAATGTCACAAGAAAGTCGAGGAGACGTTAGAGATGACACGAGGCCAAATATGGAAAATGTGGGCAAAACCAAGCAAATAGTACTTACTAATAAACTAATCCACACATTTGCAGCATCGCATAACGACATATCATTTCTACATATCACTCTTTTGTAGTCGTTATGGTGTCACTATATTCATCCTCGTACGGTTCAATGATACGACTAGCGACAACGCCGCACCATACACATATTTGTAACAAAACAGATCTAGCCTCTGTTGTCTTCTTGTTTTATTTGCAATTTTTCTTATACTCCATTTCATATGCTATAGGTTCAGACCCTATCCTTGCCCTATGGCAACCCCTCACTGGTGAGTTCTACGGCTTACTAATTTCCAAGAAACTGAATGTGTAGAAATTCACTAGTGGTTTTCCTTGTGTCTGCATAGATTTCTTAATTTTTAAAAATAGTCTGTTACTAACTTTGAATCACAAATATATTTACACTTAGTTTTTTAAATTACTAAGTATAAAGGGGATAAATTATATTTATTATAGAACAGCTCTATTATAGGACAGATACTTATTGCCCCAGTTATACCATTGCATATTAGTTTTTGGCGATTGGTTGGAATAGCAATGTATACATCCGGTACATAATATTTAAATACAGCCCCAAGTCTTTTGGACTATTGTACTGTTTATGGTTTCCCTGCGGAGAGGGGAACAGAATACTCCCGCGGTTAGGATTGTCTGTTGTAAGAGGCGACTTAAGTCCCCTAGTGCCATTCTGGCACTCATGCAAGAAGTGCAAATGGTAGTGAGTTGTATGCGGCAACTTGCGACATCTGACCAGAGATGATGCTATCTGGTATTTCGGGGGTCAGTGGCCCTACAGCTTCGGCTGTACTGACCATTGGTGTTGGCTTCAAAGTGGCTGTGGTTAATACCCAAACTTACGCAGTAAAAATGTTTTGCTTGTCATTCATTCGCCGTGGCGTGCATTTCCAACCGGGTGCTGCAGCTCAAATTGTAGCAGAGGTCAGTAGGTAGGCCTCGCAGCTTACCAAGGTGGAAGTTACGACTTGCATGAATTTCTTTATTGGTACTGGCGGAATAAGGAAGGGAAAATATAATTTTCAGAATCTTATTTATAAATACATGTACATAATAGATATACATATTTAATATATACATATATAATATAAGTAATTATATTATATATATTTCGTAAAACTTTTTGATCATAACTCGAAAGTTTGGTGCCTTTATTTATTTTTTGTTTTTTAAACATTTACAAAGCAGAGAGAGTGAGAGATAGTTAGATAGAGATAGAGTGAGACTATATCTACAACAATAACAGAAATGCCCCTTAGATAAATGATCATCTTAATTAAATTACATTAGTAAATATCTTAATGGAGAAATGTAGCAATCAAAAGATCCTATGATATTATTATTAAAATTCTTTAATAGAGCACTTCCTTTAATTCATAAGTGCTCTGTAAAATACAGTGATATTGTAACGTGATATTAAATGATGGGAAGGATTTCGCATTTACTTACAAAATGGCATATTTACAATAATAAAATGAATAAAATAAAATGAATATAATAATATATGTGAAGTAAAATATGAAATAAATTTAACGAAAATGTTTATAATATAACCCA